TGATAATATCATATGAAATGTTTTATCATGTCTGCACTGACTGGTACAAATGTACAAAGACCGAAGCCCCAAACACACTTTTAGTGTTTCTCTCCGTTTGTGTCCGGCCTTATCTGGGCTGGAGGAGAAGAAGCAGGAGGTCAGAAGCACTCTCGGGATCTGCTGACCTCTCAGCTCCTCTCCTCACTGATAGTTAACGCTGCGGGGAGTGTTATCTCACTCCTCCCCTCACTTTCTCACAGTGTCCTGCTAACAGTTTACCGCTCTGTCACTCTCTGCGTCGGCCGCTTCACACTGTTTATCAGGGAGGATGTGAGGATACGTGCATTATTCAGAGAACAGTAATCCGGCGTGTGCTGAGAGCGCCCCCTGGTTTAAAGGGCCCGTAAAACTTACATCACAAAATAAAAGCGTTTGATTGACACTGTTAAAGTTTCAAAGCGTCCAGACAAAACATCACTTACATCTGTCCACCAATTCAGCCTACAGCAGTTCAGCCCCGCCCACTCACACTGGAGTGAAAAGGCACATTTCACCTAGATTTAATAGAGTGCAAACCAGGCAGCCAATCAGAACAGAGCTCATTTACATATATCAGTCTTAATCATCATCACGTAGAAATAAATTATAACTTTGTTTCATTAAACCACACAAGTATTACATTTCTACATCCTGTTTTATAGTTTATATTTATTTGTAATTTGATCAATGCTATTGATTCATATGATTTTATATTAATACTCTCACCAACTGCTTATTCATTTTTATTCCTTTCTGTTGCTGTTACTGAAAATCATAATGGAAAATCAAACTCAATTTTAATTTCTTCTATTATTGTAAAGCTTCATCAGCTGTCTTTAAAGCACTCTGTGCTTCCCCCAGTATGAAAAGTGCTCTATAAATAAAGTTATCATCATCATCATCATCATCATCATGTTAAAATATGCTAAAATTTGTTTTACTCTTGTCATCTGAAGATCTAGTCTCGCAGGCCCAGACGTGATCTTGTAACAAGAATACACGTCTGAGGACGTCTCGTTAAACTATTGGTGTTGGACTGAGGCAAAACCTTTCGTTAACAATGCCACGCCCCTTCTAAACCCCACCCCCAATATCCTCCAGTCCATGCTCTTTAACGTCTGGAGTTCAATCAAAAACACAAGCAGGACAAGCTGTAAAACTAACAGAGCTGCTTTCTCTATAAGAGTTAGCGTTTATTCTTACTGCATGTACTGGGGGCTTTTCAGCCGTGCTAACTTACACTCCATCCATGCGCCAACGACAGGCTTGCTTTCCATGTTGACGTGTACACAGCGCCCCCTACTGTGAGCTCCACCTTCATGAGATGTTAGACTGGATTAGAAATTTCACACTCAGTTTGTTTCCACCCTGATAAGACTACATTCTCCACATTTAGCCAAAACTTTTCAGAACTTGCAGTTTGTGGTAGTAACTGTTATTAGTTAGTTCTCATTACAAGATCATGTCTGGAACCGCGAGACTGCTAAATATATATGTATGGGTCCCAAATTTTTCACGAAGAAACTGTATGACCCTGTTCAACAGGGTCACTGCTGTCCACATCCACAAACAAGATTCCCCAAGACTTCGCGGGAAAACACCAGATCAAAACATGACTGCCAAAAAAGTGCTGCTCCAGCTGTGAGTTACTTTCTGGTTTCCCATGTTGTCAAGGGGTCAAACTGGTCACCCGTTTGCTGGAAACATGATGACTCACCAGATATAATGACTCACATGGGAGTGTGTGCAGGCAAGTCTTTCAAATTTCAGAAACAAACCCAGCAAGACCTCCTCCTCCTCCTCCTCGTCCTCCTCCTCCTCCACATTGCTCTCAGAATGAGAACCTCTCTGAGGTCGCTGCTTCTGAGGTCACTGCACCAGCAAACACAGTTCAGCCGAGACCCCACAGGTGAACAGGGTCACGTTTCAAAACGACAGACATCACAATCAGCTTTAGCCAATCACTGACATTCATATACGAATCTTTGGTATTTGTTACATTTAGATATGCAAATGAGAAGTTATCTACTTAAATATGTATAAATTTGCATGTTTTTAAACCCTAAAAATCTAGCTCTTGAATAATGTTCTAGCTAAAATGTTAGTTTGATTGTGAAGACACTCCAGAGAGAGAACTTTACAGAACTGATCACTGAAACATTCATTCTTTAATCTGTTATTATAAAACATTTTTCAGGTCTTTTAGTACAAAATCTACCATAAATCTAGTTATGAGCAAATATTACAACATCCTTCTGTAAAATCCTTCAGACACACACTTAAAAAAGAGGGTTCTCCAAGGGTTCTTTAGAAAAGGGAGTGGTTCTATTCAGGACAATGAGTTCTATATAGAGCTATTTGCATGCTTAATGCATGCATGGTGAAATGGTTCTTCAGTGTGTTATATATGGGTTCTACACAGGACCTTTTTAAATAGGTTCTGTATAGCACCAAAAATGGTTCTTCTATTGTATACAGGCTTGACACTGTAGCAACAGCAGAACATTTTTTGGTCCTATATGGAACTATTATCAAGAAGGTCCTATTTAGAATCAAAACAACTTCACCATGCAAAGAACCATTTAAACACAAAGAGGTTCTATGTAGAACTCCTGGCTCTAAACAGAACCATCTTTAAGTGTGCAGGCATTAATATTTCATGAATGCGACTTTGAAGCTCAGATTTTTAGTTCTGAGTGTGGAGAAAACTGTTTTTTAGTTATGAGAACTGGAACCACATTACAGAGAACACAGTCACCATTTGTGTGAATGTTATCTTTAAAATGAAATAGACATCAGCACAGCTGGGCGATACGGCACAAATCTCATATCGCCATTCTTCAAGAAATTTTTATCATACACAATATTTATTTTTCAGACACCAGATCAGCTGGAACAGAGAAAAAGAGCCAGTAGTGCTACGGTTAAAATATACTATCAAAAACTGTGAATACAGTGATTTATATTCAATATTTGTCAGTAAATCCAGTTAAACTGACTAATTTTACTCTCTTTATAACGCAACATGCAGTTGGTCAGAGTCTATAAGCACCGACAACACACGCGATGTTCAGAAGAACATACTGCATTGAAATGTGACATAATTAATCACAATAACAAAATATATAGTCATATTCCCCATCATATCATATTCAAAATCATATTCAATTAAGATTTTGGCTTCCAGTGATCATGAAAAGAAGATAATCAAGATCAAACGATTATTCAGTTTCACACTGATTGTCTCATTTTGTCTTCTGTTATAAACCCAGTGCACCCCTTTCCTTTACAGCGCCCCTCCCTAACAGCCCAAACTCAGCTCGTTTATTTCAGTCTAATTTATTTTTATTTATTATTTTTGTACATGTCTAGTAGTTTTCAGTAGGTTGTGGAAATGCACGACAACATAGCTGATCTTATTTATTTTCATTTATTGTTATTATATTATTCATTTCAATGTATTTTTTCTTTGTTTTTCTGCAAAATTACATTTAAAGTTAAAGGAAATCCACTGTTTAAAAACCTTTTCTTTTGAGTTCACTAAATTGATGTTTGAGTAATCGTGTTAAATAATTGTGATCACAGTATTATTAGATCTACCCAGCCCTGCACACCTGTATGTTCTAGTCAGATTCTAAAAGCTTTTCAGTGATACGTGACACGACACAGATGTGCTGAGAGTGGGCGGAGCTAAAGCCTCATTAAAGCTGCTAACTTTTGGAAAATGCAGTCCGATACGAGTGAAAGCAAATTTACTAAATATGCTAAAAAAAATATATTTCTATAGTTTTGACCTTTTTGGAACACAGGTTAAAAAAGACACGTTATAAATTCAAATCCTAAAATCAGAAAAATGACTGACAGGACCCTAAATGACCATTTCTGCCTGAAGAGTCTCGCCTTCATCTAACAAACAGATCCTTTAAGAGTCAGATGAGCAGCTCGGTTCCCCTCTCAGACTCTTTAGAGCCCACAGGAGAGACGATAACCACAGCTCTCATAAACGCCGCTCACAGGCCAATAACGAAAACACCAATTACGCTGCAGAGGAAATCAGACACCACCATCTATCAATTAATACGGCTCTCCAGATTTATGACTCAATCCTCTTTCGAATTTCCTCTGCGTGATGAAGAGCAGGGAGGAAAAAAATAAAAATCAATGTCAGACAGAGGCTCCTATTGATTCACCTTTAGAGTGATATCGGCTGTCCTTCCCCCTCGCGGGAACCAGGGGGGACATCTTAACCCATCCTGACAGGCACCACCGACTGTGAGGAGGTGACAGGAAAACAGCTCTGCCCTTTGATTTCATATCTAAATCAGACGCTCACGGAGATTCAAACGCGTTTAACCCGTTCAGCGCCATCCAGCAGCTCAGACTGACCCAGAGACAGGATGGAGAGAGATGGCTACATCCTGCTTTAAATAAATGTAACCAATCAGCACTCAGTAGCAGTAATGTTAACCAATCAGCACTCAGTAGCAGTAATGCTAACCAATCAGCACTCAGTAGCAGTAATGCTAACCAATCAGCACTCAGTAGCAGTAATGCTAACCAAACAGCACTCAGTAGCAGTAATGCTAACCAATCAGCACTCAGTAGCAGTAATGCTAACCAATCAGCACTCAGTAGCAGTAATGCTAACCAATCAGCACTCAGCAGAGGTAATGTTAACCAAACAGCACTCAGTAGCAGTAATGCTAACCAATCAGCACTCAGTAGCAGTAATGCTAACCAATCAGCACTCAGCAGAGGTAATGCTAACCAATCAGCACTCAGTAGCAGTAATGCTAACCAATAAGCACTCAGCAGAGGTAATGTTAACCAAACAGCACTCAGTAGCAGTAATGCTAACCAATTAGCACTCAGTAGCAGTAATGCTAACCAATCAGCACTCAGTAGCAGTAATTCCACCTGTTTAAATGCAGGTCTATATATGCTTTTTGGGAATCTGTGCTGAGTGGAGATGAACTCACCCCCTGCTCGTCCAGTTTGAGGAGCTGTTCCGGTACTTTGGGGGAGTTGAGGGCCAGTCGGAGGCACTGAATGTTGAGCTCTGGAACCACGTACTCCAGCACCTCCTTCAGCGGGAGGCCGCGCGCTGTGCCGTGCCTCGCTGTGGAGGGAACAGCATCCTCCAGAATCGCCCCGCGGAGAGTCGTCAGCTGGAAAAACACAGAGAAAAGCTTTCAGCTAAAATCAAACCAAAGTCCCACACATGATGAACTCAGTGTGAGTTGCATTTTGTCTTCAGACTGATGGAGAATGTGCTGTACATGATTCCGTACAGAACCTTTTTGAAACGCTACGGACACAAAAATGGACGTTTCTGTAGAATGACCCAGATGTACAGCTGACTTTCCACTTTCTCCGGCCGTGTGGTCAACCAAGCAACTGTAACTGTACATATTTCGGTGTTACGTGACAGACGCTCCTCCTAGTCTATGCTGTCAGCAGTGTATTTATCACATTTTATGAAGTGCTGTGCCTGTGAGCGCCGCAGTACGTGACAGATCAATCTGAAAGCCATCCAAAATTATCTGAACTGATTTTGTCTTTATCAGCTGTTTCAGTGAGGCTAACTGGCTCTGTCACTCACAGTAAATGCATTAATGTGCTGTCAGTAATGAAAAATGGGGAAACATCATCTGTTCACAGCCTGAGGTGCTGTTCTGACTGACGACTGTCTGAGCGATATTGTAGATATTTGTCCATTTCTTGGATTCAGTGGTGAAGCTACGCTTCCACAAAAGAGGGGCAAACCTTGTTAGTGCATCCCACCAGTACAACACTCCACAGAAGGGGGATTAGGGGGTGTAGCAGCAGCTGGTGGAGGGTTGGGGGCACTTATATGAAAATAACCGCACAGGAAAGCCATTATGATGCTTTAATAACATCTTACGATAAAATAAACTCTGTTTTCTGGCCTGGATTTTGACATAATGAGTAGTATTAAAGTTTTGCAGCACAGAAATAAAACCTACATCACAACACAGCTAAAAACATTCGTCCTAATTAATAGAAGAATCGGTCATTTTAGCTGTAAACAGAACCTGTGTGTAAAGGATTTGAGCTTTAACTGTTCATTTTATGAAATGCACTAAATTCATTTTCCCGCTTCATATAATTCAGTTTCCCCACAAGGGGGTGCTATAAGCACATGAGCAGCAGTTTTGTGCATTATTTAAAAAGACGAAAACTGCAAACGAACCCACACCAGCAGGAGCGCATACAGCTGCAGTAACACATTTCAAATCCGGCAGTGGAATCATTACTTACCTAAAGGTAAAGATCAATGTGATTTAATATGTCAATTAATGAGTTTATTCTAAAAAGGGATAATGTTTACAGACACATTTTGAATCCAAACACATTTTTGGGTTGACTAACTTTTTTCAGCAGGCAAACAGTAAAACCCAGCATCATAGGTGGCTTTAAATATGACAGTACAGCTCAAACTGAACAACCTTTGGACATTTTGTACATCAAAACATACATAAACACCAGGACTGAACCTGCGTCGCTGTCCGTATGACTGTGTTTGGTACTGCACGTTATGCAGTGAGAATATTTCATATTACAGTTATTACAGTACTATGAGCTCTAGCTCTTGACTAAATATTTGAAATAAAGTATGTAAATGATTTATAAAGGTATTTAATATGCGTGAGACTGTGATCTGCATGTGTGACGACACTGTGGCGTTATAAGGCCTGGACAGTGCTAACAGACACAGAAGAAGGCAGTGGGCACTGCTCTGTGAGCTACTTGACCGTGCTGCGCAGAAAGATTTCCAGTCAGGTCTCATAAAATCAAACTCTCCCCTCTTGCCTTGATGGTCACTTGCTTTTTGGTCACTGGGCTTTGAAAAAACAGAGTGAGTGGAATCGGGCTGAGTTAGAGTGAGCTGGATCTCGGTGGTTTTGCTCTTCAGGGCTGCTGATCTGTGATTACTCAGTTCAGTGTGAGTGATGTGGACAGTCTGGGTCTCTCGTTACGCAGCTACATGTTCAGGACTGGACCTCAAATCTGCTCAGCACATAATACAACTAATCTGATTTTTATATCACTAGTAGTAGTTAGTTAGGTGGTAGCTGGTCTTGTCTCCAAATGATGCTGAGACTGAGACAAGACCAAGTGATGTTGAGACAGGACTAGCTACCACCTAACTAACTACTACTAGTGACTTGGTCTTGTTTCAGTCTCAACATCACTCGGACTCTGTCTTGTTCTTGTCTCAGTCTTGACATTATTTGGACTTAGACTTGGTCTTGTCTCAGTCTCAACATCATTTGGACTCTGTCTTGTCTCAGTGTTGACATCATTTGGACTCTGTCTTATCTCAGTCTCGACATCATTTGGACTCTGTCTTATCTCAGACTCAACATCATTTAGACTTGGTCTTGTCTCAGTCTCGACATCATTTGGACTTGGTCTTATCTCAGACTCGACATCATTTGGACTTGGTTTTATCTCAGACTCAACATCATTTGGACTTGGTCTTATCTCAGTCTCAACATCATTTGGACTCAACAATAGTCTTGGTCTTAACTAGCAGCCTAGTACAAGCTCCTGCTGGTGTGCGTTCATGCACGGGTCTTGTCTCCTTAATGATGCACAAACGCTACTTGAATGGTTATAGCACCCCCTTGTGGGGATGTGAATGTTTGTGAATCTGGGTTTCTGCACTAAAACACCTGCATTTTATTTGTTTTACTGCATTTGTAACTGTACAGAAATAAATGCTACATCTGTTCCTGTAATGGAGATTTAGGCAGATTTAGTCCCAGTTTCTACACTTTATAAAGGTTTGTGTACGGGCATCAGCAGATAAGCGCATAAAAATAGAACATATCAGCATCAGCCCACAATTCCCATATCAGCACATCCTTAATTAACACCTATCAGAATATGTCATATATTTATTATTATGATTTATGTACTGTTGCCCGTTCCACACTCCAGGCCAAAAATAAATGGGTCACTGAATCACAAATAAAAGAGATGAAGTAAGAAACTCATTTCTTACACTGTCTCACATTTTGACTGCCACAGTAGAGTGAGAGTCCAGACACTCCCTCAGTCACTCTGCCTAATTACCCTCAAATGAAGCTGATGCTCAGGGCTGCTGGCTGAACTCGCCGGTGCACTGAGGCGAACGGGCAACACTCAGCAGTGTTTAGTGCTCCACTAAAACTTTTCATCCTCACTTAATGCTCTTACGCTCCACTGCTGCTCCGTCCTCAGCAAATCACCGCGTTAGTCTCGACTGAGTGCCGAGAAGTTTGGACAGAGCTGAGGAGGAGGCAGAAGCGGAGGCACTGTGGCTAAGATACTCTCTTACTGAAGAATCAAACAAATCTTTGATCTGTGTAAGAGACTGGAACAGAGAGATGAGAATTAGGGATATGATCACATTTTTAATGTACATACACTATATGTACAAAAGTATTTGGACACCCCTCCTAATTACTGAGTTCAGGTGTCTAGGTGCATCAACAGCTTAGCCATGATGCAGTAGGCCACGCAAACTCGCATCAGGAGCTTCACGAAATGGGTCTCCATGGCTGAGCAGCTGCACACAAGCCTAAGATCACTATGCGCAATGCCAAGCGTCGGATGGAGGGGTGCAAAGCACTGCCACTGGACTCTGGAGCAGTGGAACCGTGTTCTCTGGAGTGATGAATCAGCTTCTCTACCTGTCAGTCTGATGGACGAGTCTGGGTTTGGCGAATGCCAGGAGAACGTTACCTGCCTGACTGCACTGTGCCAGCTGTAGAGTTTGGTGGAGGAGGGATGATGATATGGGGCTGTTTTTCAGGGGTTGATCTAGAACCCTTAGTTCCAGTGAAGGGGAACCTTAACGCTTCAGAAGAACAAGACATTTTGCACAACTGTACACTTCCAACTTTGTGGGAACAGTTTGGGGAAGAACCTTTCCTGTTCCAGCATGACTGAGCCCCAGTGCACAAAGCAGCTCCATAAAGGCCTGACTGGGTGAGTTTGGTGTGAAAGAACTTGACTGGCCCTCACAGAGCCCTGACCTCAACCCCACTGAACACCTTTGGGATGAACTAGAACGGAGACTGTGAGCCAGACCCTCTCGTCCAACATCAGCGTCTGACCTCACAAAAACTCTTCTGGATGAATGGACACAAATTCCCACAGACAGACTCCAAAATCTTGTAGAAGCTTCCCAGAAGAGTGGAAGCTGTTAGAGCTGCAAAGGGGGACCAACTCCATATTAATGCCTGTGGATTTAGAATGGGATTCATAAAAGCTCCAGTAGGTGTGATGTGTAGGTCTCCCAATGCTTTTGTCCATATAGTGTATCTGCTTAAGTCAATACTAATAAAACTCTTCTGTAAATAAACAAACACGCTCACCGCTGCCCTCTAAAGGTGTCACTAATTTTCATAAACGAGTGCTGCTACAGTGCATTAATAAGGAGCTTTAACTCAATATCTGTAAAACACTAGACGAGTGTTGGGTTCTTTACCTGGCTGGTCCTGAAGACGATGCGGTAATTGTATGGTGATCCATCTTTCTCCTTCCCATCTTCAAGTTTCTCTCTCCGCACGCTGACCGCCACTGGACCCAGGTTCTCATCCACCCCAAAGTAGTTCTGGTGGTCTGAGGGGTCAGCAGCGAAAGACGAGCAGAACAGATAAAAGACAGAGAACACATTAGAGACATCATTCAGGAATAAAAAGAAAGATCTGCCTGACTGAGTGAGCAGGAGCCTTTATCTACACTAGGGGGCGTCTGCCAACGGTTACAATCTCTCCTATATTTATCTACAGTAAGGGGCAATCAAGAAAAACATGCTACTTTGCAGATATGAAGACAGGCAAGAACTAATTAAACATCTACTGAGTTAAACAATTACCCCTTTATTTTATACATACATACATACATCATCTAAACCGCTTATCCTTCTGGGTCGCGGTGGGGTGCTGGAGCCTATCCCAGCTGTCATTGGGCGGAAGGCAGCATACACCCTGGACAGGTCGCCAGTCCATCGCAGGGCCCCTTTATTTTATGTCTATGATTATTTTCAATGTTATCATCATTATCATCGTTATTGTTGTTTTGTTGTTTTGTTGTTTATTAGCATTATTTTATTTTGTTGTTTTTATTGGTATTATTTTTATGTTGTTTATTCAAACCATGTTAAATCTTATTGCTTTATCCTGTTATCCCCTCATATCCCATCTTAATCAGGGGGGAGGGATATAGGGGTGTAGGGGGAGAGATATAGGGGTGCAGGGGGGAGGGATATAGGGGTGTAGGGGGGAGGGATATAGGGGTGTAGGGGGAGGGATATAGGGGTGCAGGGGGAGGGATATAGGGGTGCAGGGGGAGGGATATAGGGGTGCAGGGGGAGGGATATAGGAGTGCAGGGGGAGGGATATAGGGGTGTAGGGGGAGGGATATAGGGAGTGCAGGGGGAGGGATATAGGGGTGCAGGGGGAGGGATATAGGGGTGCAGGGGGAGGGATATAGGAGTGCAGGGGGAGGGATATAGGGGTGTAGGGGGAGGGATATAGGGAGTGCAGGGGGAGGGATATAGGGGTGCAGGGGGAGGGATATGGGGTGCAGGGGGAGGGATATAGGGGTGTAGGGGGAGGGATATAGGGGTGTAGGGGGAGGGATATAGGGTTGTAGGGGGAGGGATATAGGAGTGCAGGGGGAGGGATATAGGGGTGTAGGGGGAGGGATATAGGGGTGCAGGGGGAGGGATAAAGGGGTGCAGGGGGAGGGATATAGGGGTGTAGGGGGAGGGATATAGGGGTGCAGGGGGGAGGGATATAGGGAGTGCAAGACAAAAACACATCCTTTGCTTTGCTTGCATTGCATTGTTCTGCCTGTGATGGACTGGCAACCTGTCCAGGGTGTTTCCTGCCTTCTGCCCAATGACTGCTGGGATAGGCTCCAGCTCCCCCCGCAACCCAGGAGGATAAGCGGCTTAGAAAATGTGTGTGTGTGTGTGTGCATTGTACTGTAATGCTGTTCATGTATAAAATTAATATAGTGAATTACAAAAACAAATAATTAAATAAAAACATTTCATCTCATTTCTTAGTGTCTCAGTAAGTCAAACTGCCACAGTTGAACCCAGACGTTCTCTTCTTGTTTTGCATTTAATGTTTTTTTTGCCGTGTGCTGATTTTCCACTCTGGACTCTGTGACCTCCTTAAAAAAGCGTCCGGCACACAGCCAACAACATGACTAATATAAAACCATAACAAATACAAACAAACCACAACAGCCGTATCGCTTACAGCACAAACGAGTACAAAATTAGTCTGTTTAAAACAAGACTGGACAAGCTTCGTTTTGACGGACCGCCATCAGCTGCTCAGCACTCAGGTATTAAAGGAACTTCAGCAGCAGGAGGCAGCCATTCATACAGAGACCAGCAGATTAATTTAGCATTCTCATCAGACGACACCTCTGAGAACGTCCCTGTGAGCCGCCGTTAACTAGACTGAAACGAGGTTACTGCACTCCTCACACGCAGGAATCAACAGAGACTCAGTCAGTCACTCAGTCAGTCAGTGAGCGTATTATTATTAATTATTATCATTATTAATAATAATTCTTCAGAATTATACATGCTTAAAAAAGTAGTAGTAGTTCAGTAAATGAAGAACGCATTGTAAATGGTTCTATATAGCACCCTTTTCATGCTTAACTGGTTCTTTACATGGTGAAACGGTTCTTCAGATTGACGGAGAATGTGATTCAGAATTCAGAAATGATACAGAACCTTTTTGAAAAGGGTTCTATACAGAACCATCTTTAGCACATTCTTCATCAATCTGAAGAACGCTCTTATGATGCAAAGAACCCTTTAATCATGCAAATGATTCTTTGAGTGTGTTCATGGTTCTATGTAGAACCATTTTCTTTACTTAAGAACTCTTGAAGAACCATCTTTTTAAGCTTGTATTGTTACAATGTCAGGCTTATACAAAAGGAGAACTATTTTTAATGCCATATAGAACCATTTTTGAAAAGGAGCCATATAGAACTGCATACAGCACATTCTCCATCAATCTGAAGAACCACTTCACCATGCAAAGAACCATTTAAGTAAGCAAATGGTTCTTTGAGTGTTCAAGGTTCTATTTAGAAGCACTGTCTTTACTGAAGAACTCTTGAAAACATTTTTTGTGTAGCAAAAATGATTAAAATGTCTAGTAGTTGTTATGCTACTTGTTGTTATGTAAACATGTGGCTACTGTAGCTACTGTTACTGACCTATACATTAAGTTGTGCTATGAGAAATTCTGTTAGTCTGCAATGGTCAGTAAATCAGACTGGATCCATTCTGTCTTCCTCTGATAATCAGCCCAGTGTTTTCTGCTGATAGGAGCTCAGCACTAATACTGTGTATCAGATCTTCAGTTATACACTGATCAGGCGTAACATTCTGACCACCTCCTTGTTTCTACGCTCATTGTCCATTTTATCAGCTCCACTTACTATATAGGTGCACTTTGTAGTTCTACAGTTACAGACTGTAGTCCATCTGTTTCTCTGATACTTTGTTAGCCCCCTTTTACCCTGTTCTTCAGTGGTCAGGACCCCCATGGACCCTCACAGAGCAGGTACTATTTGGGTGGTGGATCATTCTCAGCACTGCAGTAACACTGATGTGGTGGTGGTGTGTTAGTGTGTGTTGTGCTGGTCTGAGTGGATCAGACACAGCAGTGCTGCTGGAGTTTTTAAACACTGTGTCCACTCACTGTCCACTCTATTAGACACTCCTACCTTGTCAGTCCACCTTGTAGATGTAAAGTCAGAGACGATAGCTCATCTGCTGCTGCACAGTTTGTGTTGGTCATCCTCTAGTCCTTCATCAGTGGTCACAGGACGCTGCCCACAAGACGCTGTTGGCTGGGTATTTTTGGTTGGTGGACTATTCTCAGTCCAGCAGTGACACTGAGGTGTTTAAAAACTCCAGCAGCACTGCTGTGTCTGATCCACTCAGACCAGCACAACACACACTAACACACCACCACCACATCAGTGTTACTGCAGTGCTGAGAATGATCCACCACCCAAATAGTACCTGCTCTGTGAGGGTCCATGGGGGTCCTGACCACTGAAGAACAGGGTAAAAGGGGGCTAACAAAGTATCAGAGAAACAGATGGACTACAGTCTGTAACTGTAGAACTACAAAGTGCTCCTATATAGTAAGTGGAGCTGATAAAATGGACAATGAGCGTAGAAACAAGGAGGTGGTCAGAATGTTGTGCCTGATCGGTGTAATATTTAATAACACTGGAGACTGTCTACATATTCTGAGACAGTGCTCCAACACCATGGTCTGCACATTTCAAACTTCCACTGATTTTTCAAAATTCCTCCATAACTCAGTGTGTGAGGTGTAATCAGAGAGATTCAGAGAGGTTTGGTGTGAAATGGTTCAGATGTCTTTACAGTGGTGCTGATAGGAACCAGGGGTCGCCATGACTACAACACAAATATAGACATTTTATTTACTATCCAGAACCACCAGTGAACCTACACGAGTCTTCTGAGTTTATATGGAATGTTGATGATGGAAAATAGTGGAAAATCTGAAATAATAAGTTTTCTTTGGGGACTATTTTGCCTCACAGCGCCCTGCATGTATCCCTCCACCATGAATGGAGTTTAAGTTCTCTAAACTATCATAAAACAGTGTCTCAGTCATGCTGCAAGAATCAAAATTGAAATGTGTTTATTTTGAAAAAACAAAATTCATGGGGTAAAAAAACATGAAATAACGGCTTTCGTATTGTTTGCAACGTAATACAGATTAAAAATAATTTACAAATTACTGCTTAATTTGTTTTAATTTGTTTTAATTTTAACATGCCGTCCATGTTTTTTTGGCTGTTGGGTTGTAAATTATTTTCAGAAATAGGAAATAATTCACAAAATATCAACATAATTTTCACATTTATGGTCTCACAGAAGATTTAATCATAAACATAACAACAACAACCATTTGAGTCTTTTAAAAATCCAAACTGCCACTTTAACTGGGGCACATCTGTACGGACTCTCGGGGCAGGAGAGGCTCATTTCTGTCCACATTATCATTCCTGTATATGAACTATAATCTCTGATTACACCACAAAGCAGGGGTCAGTCATGGATTATATAAACCTCTGGACAGGGCTTAACCCCATTTGAGACCATTCTTAAATACACCTCATTTGGAAGTGGAAATAAATAAATAAATAAATAAAGGAGCAAATGAATAAACAAACAAACAAGCCTATTCATGAATAAAGGCAACATGTGCTGCCAAAAATCAGGAGACACACAGAAACAGGACTTCATTACGAGAGAAAATGACCGTAATAAGGCTTTATTCGATGTAAATCACAAAGCATTAGGAGAGCGACTAAGAAATTAGCTGTGGGATTAAACCGCAGCTGCACATCTGTTCTGTCTCCTTCCTGCGCCGCCGCATGAAAAGAAGACACCACAACATAATGTCACTAAGACGGCAGGTTGACTAACAGGAGCTAGAGCTGTGAAGCTGTTGGGAAAATGCCTTAAACAAACAGCCGTTAATCCCACTCAAATCCAGGACAAAATCCAGGGGATTCAGGAAATAACAGACACC